AACACTATTATATAAATAATGCTTTGATATAATAGAAATACACACTCTCAAAAAGGAATGGATTTTTGACTTCATGTAATGATAAGTTTAATTATAAAACACAATTTACTTGACGTAATGCAATTTTGACCTCACATATTAAAGAAATGAAATGATTTAAAGAAACATTCATTTCACGTAATAAAGTTTTAACTCAATGTAAACACATTATCACTCCACATAATTAATTTTTTACTTCAAGTTATGAAGTGCTGACATAATGAAAGGATGTAATTACTTTATGTAATGCAGCATTGGCATGATGTTAAGATATTTTTCATCATCTCATAAAAAATTGACCTAACGTAAAGATACGTTCACATCACGCTATGATAAATTGACATAATAAATGCATAGTTGTGTGCTATAAGGCAGTGATGGCGTACCATATACAAACATTAAGTCACATACATGTATATGTTCACGTTCGATATATTGTCAAAATTTAACACAATGCATGGTGTCTAATTTAAACTTTATTAAACAGTTCTAATAGATGTAATAAAAATATAAAGTCCGCCGAGAACCTGTTTTATACGTAACAACTCTCCTTCATGCCCCTGTGCTAAAAATAGCGACATGTAATACAATCAATACTAATAAAACAAACGGGGCGGGCACTTTGAGAGGGGTGAGAGAGGTCCTAGGGAGTTTTGGCATAAAATTACATTGCAAAAGCTCAACATCCTCTTGAAATATCGCCCGAAAACGATAATGTTACACACAAACAGAATGTTTACATTTATGACCTTGAAGTTTGACCTTTTGACATCAAAATGAATAGGGGTCTTCCTTAGTCCATGAGGAGTTGTTATGAAAAATTTCATTGCAAAAGCTCAAAGGCTTCTCGAGATATCGCGCGAAAACGAAAGTGTTATAACAGACAGAATTCATGAATTTATGACCTTGACCTTTGACCTTTTGACCTCAAAATCAATAGGGTTTTTTTTTAGTCCATAGGGAGTTGCTATGCAAAATTTCATTACAAAAGCTCAAAGGGTTCTCGAGATATCGTGTGGAAACGAAAGCGTTACAGACAGACAGAGCGACGGACAGACGGACGGACGGACAGACCCAAATTAATATCCCCCACTTTTCAAGCGGGGGACAAAAAATGGCTTGCAAACTGGGGGTGTGGCCTAAAGTCTATGAGAAATCGATGTAAACAATGTACCCCTGCTATATTTATCAGATAAATACCTAATTGCAGTGCATGGAATTAAAAATTAAAATTGAAATCAATAAACTACGATGTTTGATGGAAAAATTGAGGCAGAAATATTTAGAAAATCTTTCATTTTATTTTTTGTAAATTATCGAGGGGCCAGATTTGGACGTTGAAACGATTCATTCTTTATGAGAGTGCAAGGGTATGTAAATCAAACCCATCCAAAAATTTGAAGTTTAAATTACTTTAAGAAGAAATAATTTTTTTGATATATATATTATTGTGAAATGCTATTAAAATATATAAGTCATGATATTATACAGAAAATATTAACTTTAATTCTGTGTCCATGCACCTTTAAAAGAGTAAATACACTATGTCTTTATTTTACTATGATACGTGAAGTACAATTCCGCTGTTAAAACCCAAGTCGACACCCTTAATTCACAGTATATTATGTTGACTTTATCAGGTGAATTATTCAACAGTACTAGTGTAAGACTTGTCGGTGGAATATACCCAAGCAATGGCCGAGTTGAGGTCTTCCATTCCGGTGTATGGGGTACAGTCTGTGATGATAGTTGGGGTTCTATAGATGCCGGTGTTATCTGTGAGATGCTTGGATATCAAAGGTACACAACTCAGGATATCTTTAAACTGCTTTTTGTCCATTTTTTTAATTAAAAAAAATTTATTTTCAAATTTCTTCCCCTTGTTTATAAAAGCAAACTGAAATATATTCAATTTAAAATTTAATGGGATAATGCTACTTTTTTGGAATACATCTTGCAAATGGTTGAGTCAAACTAGATATGTTTGATATATGAAGAGAAAATTTGGGAAAATTTTTGTCTCTTAGAAAATCATTCGGTATTTCCAAAACTGATATTAAACAAAAAATATGAAACATACAGAGGGATTCAATAATGACAGCAAGATTTCTTTCTTTCTTATTCCTTCTTCTTATCCATATGGTAGCTTTTAATTTCCTAATAAAGTTTCTTTAACTTTAAAAGGCCTATGCCAATAAGACTTGTCAATAGAGGTATTAAGGTCAGATGATACAAACATCTTTTTAGAAGAAGATTTAATATCATGTCTCAGGTTTAGAAAAGTGGATAATTCATAATTTTTTTTCTATCACGAACAGGAAAGTGAAATAGACTTAGAAAACACTAGTAATATTACAATTAAATTACAAATATTTACAAAACACACTCGGTAAAGGTTTACAGATGAAAACCAGTTTCAGAATATGTAAGATTTGCGCAAAGCGTGTAATATTATCAGTAGAACAATATACCTAACCAGAAAAGGCAAAATGGTAAAAATCAGCGAATGTGATATTGTTGATATTTTGTCATTTTGTTTTTCCTCATAAAATTCTTTTAGCTTGGTATATATTTTTAAAGCTTATATTACACTTTTAGCACCAAGCTAACATATTCTGAAATTTGTTTTCACCTGTAGACCGTTATTGAGTGTGATTTGTCTTTATTTGTTATTTTATTAAAATATGACTAATATTTTCAAAGTCTATTTCATTTTCCTGTTCTTAGGAGAAAATATTCCACGAATTATCTTTTTCTAAACTTATGGCATGATATTAAATTTCCTCAAAAGCAAAAAGTTGTTTGTATCATCTGTCCTTAAAGGGAAGATTTGCCACAATTTGAAACTGAACTATTTTTTATATATATATTTTGAAAGCTTATTTTCAAGTATTGAAAATTAACCCCATACATTTAAGAAAACAAAATTCCACAGTGATGATAATTAGATATAATTTGAATTAGTTCTAAAAATAAGGCAAGTTCATGTTCTCTTTTTTATTTTTAGGGGGAAAATATTAATCTATCCAATTATGAAATATGATGATAATGATCAGAGGTCAAGCTCAAACGTCCATTTGTCGCCCGTGTAGCATAGTGGTAAGAGCGTCTGCTCTAAATTCTCGGAGTGAGGAGTTGATCCTTACGTCGCAGGTTCGACTCACACTGTGAAATGTAGAGTCTGGTCCTTCGGATGAGACCGAAAAAACGAGCTCCCGTGTTGGCACGAAAAAAGATCCCTCACTTTTCAGTGGCCCTGGGTGCCAAACATAGGTTAAAATTTGTAGTTCTCCACCGGCAAGTGGTGTCGTCTTCATATGAGTAAAAAATTCTCGAGAGGGATGTTAAACAACAGACAAACAAACTTTCATTGGCACAACACAAATTGAAAACAGACCAAAACATCATTGATAGTTTCAGATGCCATGCAGGAGTAAGCATTTCCTATGGGCCGTTCAGTCAAATTTGAACACCAGTTCTTGTCATACATTTTATTGCCAAAATCGGTCACTTTAATCGACCATATAATTTGCAAAATACCGACCCGAATGAGACCGTCGACAGCCGTGTTCCATCGGCTTGTCTCGGTTTAGACATTGTGTATAAAGCATGCTCCCTTGTATTGCATCAATATGGGGGACTTTTCTCCATATTCATGCGATAATTGTATATTGCTAAATATGGAAGGAAGGATGACGATAGAAAGTCATTTCGTTTATCACAAAGAATTGGAACTAGGTTGCCATAAACGTCTTTTTCTAATAACAAATTCACATAGTGTTAAATCGATTTCTTTGAAAAATATCATATGCTTTTCATTTTGCAATTAACAAAAGCATAATGATTAGACATAAAATCTATCTGAAAGATGCAAGCAAATAACGAAAATTCTTTTCAACTTGAAAAAGTAATTGATTTCTATTTTCTTAACCTTTTCGTGGAATATTATACATAATTGTGTTTCTATGCATCTTTTATTCTTTATATGACAACAAATTTAATCCTTTATGGCTATACAGTCAAATTGATTGTAGTCGACTGTGCCGTGGAGCTTGTAAGCAATGCGATGTCTAAAACAATCAAACCTTTTAGCTGTTGCATCTTCGGAGAATGTGTTTGTATCTCAGAAGTACCGGGGTATATCACTATGACCTTATTTTGAAGCTTATTATGTTCTAGTCTTGTACAGTCCATGTCTCTCAAACATTGAGGCATAAGGCATCCGTATGTTTACGTGTATAGGTGAAAGTTATTTTACTCAAAAGGTCAATTTTGCCCTTTGTTTATCCATAGAATACTTTTTAAAATAAAAGTGTTATTATTGGATGTCAGATTACGAGTAACTGTAGACTTCATTCTCAGTACTAAGATGTTTCACTGAATTTGGCCTAAATTATACCTTTTCTAAGAAGATGTGTTGTCAATAGGCTGTAAAGTGTATAGGCTAAACTCAGATGATTCAATGCAAAACCTTTACTAGGATCTAGTTAATGCTACATTTATAATGCTCAATGGCTTACAAGTATAATCAGAAAATTTACAGGCCATAATCAGATAAGTCAATACCCATAGGTTACATGTAGATTTGCCATTGTAGATTAGCCTTCAACTAGGAGACGAATTATAACCGATAGTGAAATATTAGGTCTACTACTGTTAAGCGATTACAGTTTATTTCAGACAAAATGCAACAGCATTTTCCCGTGCATACTTTGGTGAGGGAAGTGGACAGATTTGGTTGGATGATGTTCGATGTTATGGAACAGAAACAGACATATCCCTTTGCTTTCATAGCGGATGGGGAAATCATAACTGTGGACATTATGAAGATGCGGGGGTATCTTGCTTAGGTGATGAATTAATTTTGTTAAAAGTATTTTTGATCAACTGCTATTACATACTTCTAACTGTTAATATCTTTAATAACATACAAAAATCATGCAATCATCTAAAGATTTACAATGTCTAAAATAAATTTGAATGTAACAATTGGTTTGTTTCTGGCTCAGATATCGATGAATGTGTGGATGATCCATGTAAAAACAACGGAACATGTCTAGACCTCAAAATCGGCTTCAAATGCCTCTGTGTTCCTGGATTCAATGGGACGAACTGCACAATTGGTGATTTTTGTTACATTGTAAAAGTATCAATCTAATTAAAACATATTATTCAGCACTATCCAATTAAATATTATATACTAGTATATTAAACAAAAGTAATATTACGCGTATAATCCTACATATTTAAGATAGCATTTATGATGATAGATAAATAAAATGCAATCGTTAATTGTTTTGTCTTCTTGAATGTAGACAAATGTGCGGATGATCCTTGTCAAAAAAATGGAACGTGTATTGACCTCATAAACAACTACGGGTGTCAATGTGTCGATGGATTCAATAGAACAAATTGTACAAACGGTAATTCTAATCAAATGAAAGAAAGAGAATACTCAAATAAAAAACCCATCAATTTTCCTTTCAACGTCACCTTTTCTTGCACAGATATTTATGGTGCAGGCGAAAACCACAGGAAAATATTAAATGTGATGGTACTTAAAATTCTGAAAACTGATATCCCATTAAATCTCAACTTGAAATCTATTATATCGTTAACCGTATCACTCAGTTTTGCTGTTGATATCGCACAGAAGACAAAATTAACCAACTTTCTCTAGATCACTACACTATTGTATGTGCAGTGAATCAATATTATATTCTCCGATACTGTTGACATTATATAATGTACGATGTTTTATCATGCCTTGTATATCAACATTTCCCTTGAAAAAGTGACTTGTTGAATGGATACAAGTACTATTGTTGATTAAAAAATGAAAAACTTAATTGTTCTGTTGACGTCCTTAGATTATTAACCTTAATGCTTCAGATCCCCTTTTATTTGATAACTTGCGCCTGTCAACTCGATATTTTCAGTTTCTTCTCGGATAGTATATATATATATATATATATATATATATATATATATATATATATATATATATATATATATTGCTATAAAGATACATATGTTCAATCACCAAGATAAATTTGTGAACAGAAAAAAAGACTCATGCAGAAATACGAAGGTTGTTCAAAAACTTTGTGGAGGATGTCAATCTTCGTTTAATTACTCACTAGAAATTTAAAATAAGCACAATATAATATGTACATATATTTGTTTTGTTGATGCGTGAAGTTTCAATCCATTCAATTTAACAGAAATGAATATACTTCATTTTAAAATCAACATGTTTTGTACCCGCGGAGCACACTTAACGGAAATGTAACGTCAAAAAATAGCGTCAAGAATTTCTAAAAATTACTATCCCTATACATTTCACACAGTATAATCCAATGCCCACTCATGAAATCCTTGGGCAGCTCTGATTTTGTATACTGTTTAATGTACTTTGAGATTAAATACTGTTCGTTATCTCCATATCCATCCTTGCAACTCTGAAGCACCTACAATGTATGTCTTTCCTTGACGTTCCAATTTTTTAAAGACTGTTAAGATTTTACTGTTAAATTGTAGCTTCACAGATTGTCCTCAACCGATACAGAGTCTCTGTCACCCAAATACTGCTTGTACTGTTTGTACCACATGCACAACTCGCTTGTGACATATTTTTTTGATTCCTCCAACATTTTTAGGGTTTATTCAGGTGTTTTTTTAGTAAAATACAAAATTGCATCGTCGTTATCTGTTGCTCCGTGACGTTCTAAAACGTTATCATTTTTGTCGTTTTCAATAAGGACTACCTATTTTCTCAAGCTGATTTCTTTTCAACAAAACAAAATATAGCCATAATTTGGTATACGAATCGATGTATCAATTCTTATTAGTTTGTAGTTCTGGGCTGTTTTTGATTTAGTTCAATTTTACAGAGAATGTGACTGCAGACATTATATAGATTATTGTCTGTAACTTACTAAATTTTCATCTACTCCGCGATCCGATTTTTGCATTTTAAAAATCTGGGTAAGTTTTGATTAAATTGTAATTTTTTGGGGAAAAAAATCACATTGAACTCGCTTTCTGTTGCTCCTTTAATCCGCATTTTATCCAAATTGAAAATCTGTAGATCCCTAAAACAGGGTTGCTATATCCCTGCAACTTTCAATCAAAATACGTACATTTTATGTTTCTGAATGCATTTTTTTCAATCTGTTTAAACACATAGGAAATGTTAAATGTTAGTAGACTGATAAAGGTTTTAAAAACCATATTCTATACGCCTATACTCTAACATAATATCAATATAATCACCTAGCTTTAGATATATTTTAATAGATATCGATGTGACTGCGTTTCTGGATTTAATGATATGAACTGTACAAACAGTGAGTAAGTGAATTTAACAAAACTATTCATAAGGTAAAATGTATACCATAAAACGTAAAATTTAATAATAACTTAGCGATGATAATATAAACGAGTATTCAAATATCTAAAATCCTTTAAAAAAAATGAATTCATCTTGAGACATCATGGAATATCTAATATGAAAACAAAGATGATATGTTAAATGTTACATTGGAATTAATGTATGAAATGTTGTTGTTTTTTTTAGGAAATATCTGAAGCATTTTGTTAATCATTAATATTTTAACCTCTTCGGGTATTTTTTTTTCATTATCGTTCCTTATTTACAAATTTCTTGCATTAAATATTTACAGATATTGATGAATGTGTTGAAAATCCATGTCAGAACAATGGAACATGCCTTGATCTGATCAATAATTACGAATGTAACTGTGTTGCAGGATTCAATGACACTAACCGTACATACACTAAGAGTATAAGAGATCAAGAAACACGGTTTTTCTAAGGAAAGATTGCTTCTTTAAAGAGATATCTTTTAAGATTTATTGACGATATATTAAAATCTTTGTTTTCAAAGTTCAATCTTTTTGTAAATATAAAAGAATGTCTCTTCATACTATCGTGCAAAAGTCTACGATATTTTGTCATGAATGGAGTGAAGCAATTACAATATAGAGGGAGAAAAAAATGTTATTCACAAGTATTTTGCTCATTAAGAAATTTTTTTACCAGTAGGAAAGGATATAATGAAATTTTCAGTACTGTGCTTTGCATTCATTAAAGTTTCCTACTGTCACAACCGAAATGTTTTTGTCTTAAATAAAAAAAAAACCGTTGCTATTTTCATCTTTCTTCCAGAATTTTTACTATAACCTCATGTCTACCATTTCTTCCTTTGACGTCATCTCACCAAACCCTTGTTACTCTTGTCTACTTTCTGATGTTCCTTGAAATTCTCTGACTTTCCTGTCTTTTCACTGATATCAATTTCCCTTGACTGAAACCCCGATGACCCTAAACTTGATTAGTCAAAACTTCCTTTTTTTCTTAACTAGGGTCACGTGATGTACCTTCGTGAAAGCCTGTCCCTGTAGTGAAATAAATTAACAATCAAATTGCAAAACATTGAATATTCTGTATTTTAATTTCCTGTCTTTTGCTGTATATTTTACAGATATTAATGAGTGTGGTGGAAATCCTTGTCAAAACAATGGAACATGCGTGGACCTCATCAATGATTACAATTGCAGTTGTGAGGCAGGATTTAATGGAACAATCTGTGAAGAGAGTACGTAAATTTTTGAAATTAAGACAACTGATTCTATTCATCTAATTTCAGATAACACAACACTGTAAATTGTTTATTCATCAAGAGATATTTTTAAATTTGTATACCGGTGTATTATTTTGGAATGCTTATGCTTCAGAACATTTAATATCCTTTGAAATAAGAGAGAGAGAGAAACGTTTGAATAAAAGAAGTTTTTACAGATATTGATGAATGTTCTGATAGTCCTTGTCAGAACAATGGAACGTGTGTGGACCTCATCAATGGGTATGAGTGTAACTGTTTTCCTGGATTTAATGGAACCAATTGCGAAGAGGGTAAATAAATCAAAATAATATTAAAGTACGATTTATCAAACCATTTTCAGAATTAGTCACACTTAACCTAGAGTATTTTTTACAGATATTGATGAATGTGCTGAAAATCCATGTCAGAACAATGGAACATGCCTTGATCTCATCAATGATTACCAATGTAACTGTGCTGCAGGATTCAATGACACTAATTGTACAAACAGTAAGTGTATAAAAGAGAATAATAAATAATACATTTTGGATAGTTAAACCATTTGAATGATATTTTCTTAAAGCTCATTAAGACAGGGCAATCTTTGAAGATGTGTCGCACACTTCCGACTTACTGTCAAAAAATCTTGTTAGACCTGCAAGAACAAGACATTTTTTTAAAATATCTCTTTAAATTTCACATTGATACTGAAATTTTCTTGGACAAAAAATCCCCCAACCCACATATCAAGGCTTCAAGCCTGAGTTGGGAGAGAGAGAGATTAAACAGTCATATTTTGTCTAATAACATATCTAAAATTTTCAACCTTCAATCTAGCCTTCAGTCTTACAATTGCTTAGCAAGAAGGTCTCACAAGTGTTCACCTACAGTGCCACTTTGAAATTTTCATGAAAAGTAAAAGGAAAGGAATGCTGTTTACAAAAAAATCAATGTTAATAAGTTGGATATAAAAATAAGAATTTATCTCATTCATAAAAGAGAATCCTTAAAAATTTCACTACTGTTCTTTGCATTCATAAAAGTATAAATTTTTGACTAACTTGCTCTGCACCTGATACTGTTGACAAGAAAATTACATACTGTATACTCTATAGCAACCATGGAATATTCTCTTTTTCAAAGTCATCTCTTATATACATGATATTCATTACAGATATTGATGAATGTTCAGAAAGTTCGTGTCTAAACAATGCAACATGTGTGGATCTCATCAATGATTACAACTGCAGTTGTGTTGCAGGATTTAATGGAACAAACTGTGAGGAGAGTAAGTAAATTAATGAACCTAAGAAAAATGAAACTTTAGATCACACAGATATCACAACTCTGAAAATTATGATACGTCAATGCTTAAGAACATTGGTTATCCTTTGTACAAGTGAAAGTTGGGATTACAAGAAAGACGTTTTTACAGATATTGATGAATGCGCCAATAGTCCTTGTCAGAACAATGGAACATGTTCGGATCTTATCAATGGTTATGAGTGTAGCTGTGTTCCTGGATATAATGGAACCAATTGCGAGGAAGGTAAGTCAAATGATATGAAATGACGGTGAATAAAACTAGTAAAAATCAGTTCATTTTCAAAGTCTCGTGATCTTTTTATAATCCTTTGCCAGTGGTGAAAGAAGTTACCGATCCAATTGCAAACAATCCCTTGAAAGTTTTAGAAATTCTTTACCAGTAGTGAATGAAATGACTGATTCGATTCAATATTGCAAACCACTGAATATTCTTTATCTCTTAATCATATCTTATGCATTTCATTTGTAACAGATATCGATGAATGTGCAGAAAATCCTTGTCAAAACAATGCAACATGTGTGGACCTCATCAATGATTACAACTGCAGTTGTGTTGCAGGATTCAATGGAACAAACTGTGAGGAGAGTAAGTAAATTAATGAACCTAAGACAAAATGAAACTTGAGATCACATTTTAGATATCACAACTCTGCGAATTCTGATACATCAATGTTTAGGAACATTGGTTATCCTTTGTATAAGTGAAAGTTGGGATTACATGAAAGACTTTTTTACAGATATTGATGAATGCACCAATAGTCCTTGTCAGAACAATGGAACATGTGCGGATCTCACCAATGGTTATGAGTGTAGCTGTGCTTCTGGATTTAATGGAACCAATTGCGAGGAAGGTAAGTCAATGAAAATGATATGAAATGACGGTGAATAAAACTAGTTTAAAATCAGTTATGCTTAACAAAGAGCATCTGTTACAGATATTGATGAATGTGCTGAAAATCCATGTCAGAACAATGGGACATGCCTTGATCTCATCAATGATTACCAATGTTACTGTGCTGCAGGATTCAATGACACTAATTGTACAAACAGTGAGTATATATAACCAAGCATGTTTTTTTTATTTCAAGGAAATGTTGACTTTTTCTGGAAGATATATTTTATCTTTTAGAGTTCATTCAAGTTATACTAGTATCTTAATCCTAATCTCAGATATCTTGAAGTCTGACGTCTTACACCAGTCTGTGTATTCCACCACAGACAAAGATAATCTAAAAGTATTCTCCCCATTGACGTACCTTGACCTAATCCCTGTTTAACCTGACCACTTTCTGGCGTCCCCTGAATTATCCGTCTATTCCTGAACATCTCCTGACAATATCCTTTACGACACTACTCTCACTTAGTCATTACTTGAGATTTTTCTTGATCAATATCATAACGTGATCCAACATCTGATGTTTTGGAGGGCCGTGTTTGCTTTGCTCCCATTTTGTATTGTTTTACGGACTTGTGATCTTGAATACTGTTCGATATCTCCATATGTTCCATGAAAGAAGTCTTTATCAGTCGTGCAATCCATTTCTTCCGGGCTTGAAAACTACACACCTTCATTTTCAAAGTCTCGTGATCTTTTTATAATCCTTTGCCAGTGGTGAAAGAAGTTACCGATTAAATTGCAAACAATCCCTTGAAAGTTTTAGAAATTCTTTACCAGTAGTGAATGAAATGACTGATTCGATTCAATATTGCAAACCACTGAATATTCTTTATCTCTTAATCCTATCTTATGCATTTCATTTTAACAGATATCGATGAATGTGCAGAAAATCCTTGTCAAAACAATGCAACATGTGTGGACCTCATCAATGATTACAACTGCAGTTGTGTTGCAGGATTCAATGGAACAAACTGTGAGGAGAGTAAGTAAATTAATGAACCTAAGACAAAATAAAACTTGAGATCACATTTTAGATATCACAACTCTGCGAATTCTAATACATCATTGCTTAGGAACATTGGTTATCCTTTGTATAAGTGAAAGTTGGGATTACATGAAAGACTTTTTTACAGATATTGATGAATGCACCAATAGTCCTTGTCAGAACAATGGAACATGTGCGGACCTCATCAATGGTTATGAGTGTAGCTGTGCTCCTGGATTTAATGGAACCAATTGCGAGGAGGGTAAGTCAATGAAAATGATATGAAATGACGGTGAATAAAACTAGTTTAAAATCAGTTATGCTTAGCAAAGAGCATCTGTTACAGATATTGATGAATGTGCTGAAAATCCATGTCAGAACAATGGGACATGCCTTGATCTCATCAATGATTACCAATGTTACTGTGCTGCAGGATTCAATGACACTAATTGTACAAACAGTGAGTATATATAACCAAGCATGTTTTTTTTATTTCAAGGAAATGTTGACTTTTTCTGGAAGATATATTTTATCTTTTAGAGTTCATTCAAGTTATACTAGTATTTTAATCCTAATCTCAGATATCTTGAAGTCTGACGTCTTACACCAGTCTGTGTATTCCACCACAGACAAAGATAATCTAAAAGTATTCTCCCCATTGACGTACCTTGACCTAATCCCTGTTTAACCTGACCACTTTCTGGCGTCCCCTGAATTATCCGTCTATTCCTGAACATCTCCTGACAATATCCTTTACGACACTACTCTCACTTAGTCATTACTTGAGATTTTTCTTGATCAATATCATAACGTGATCCAACATCTGATGTTTTGGAGGGCCGTGTTTGCTTTGCTCCCATTTTGTATTGTTTTACGGACTTGTGATCTTGAATACTGTTCGTTATCTCCATATGTTCCATGAAAGAAGTCTTTATCAGTCGTGCAATCCATTTCTTTCGGGCTTGAAAACTACACACCTTCATTTTCAAAGTCTCGTGATCTTTTTATAATCCTTTGCCAGTGGTGAAAGAAGTTACCGATTAAATTGCAAACAATCCCTTGAAAGTTTTAGAAATTCTTTACCAGTAGTGAATGAAATGACTGATTCGATTCAATATTGCAAACCACTGAATATTCTTTATCTCTTAATCCTATCTTATGCATTTCATTTTAACAGATATCGATGAATGTGCAGAAAATCCTTGTCAAAACAATGCAACATGTGTGGACCTCATCAATGATTACAACTGCAGTTGTGTTGCAGGATTCAATGGAACAAACTGTGAGGAGAGTAAGTAAATTAATGAACCTAAGACAAAATAAAACTTGAGATCACATTTTAGATATCACAACTCTGCGAATTCTAATACATCAATGCTTAGGAACATTGGTTATCCTTTGTATAAGTGAAAGTTGGGATTACATGAAAGACTTTTTTACAGATATTGATGAATGCACCAATAGTCCTTGTCAGAACAATCGAACATGTGCGGACCTCATCAATGGTTATGTGTGTAGCTGTGCTCCTGGATTTAATGGAACCAATTGCGAGGAGGGTAAGTCAATGAAAATGATATGAAATGACGGTGAATAAAACTAGTTTAAAATCAGTTATGCTTAGCAAAGAGCATCTGTTACAGATATTGATGAATGTGCTGAAAATCCATGTCAGAACAATGGGACATGCCTTGATCTCATCAATGATTACCAATGTTACTGTGCTGCAGGATTCAATGACACTAATTGTACAAACAGTGAGTATATATAACCAAACATGTTTTTTTTTTTATTTCAAGGAAATGTTGACTTTTTCTGGAAGATATATTTTATCTTTTAGAGTTCATTCAAGTTATACTAGTATTTTAATCCTAATCTCAGATATCTTGAAGTCTGACGTCTTACACCAGTCTGTGTATTCCACCACAGACAAAGATAATCTAAAAGTATTCTCCCCATTGACGCGCCTTGACCTAATCCCTGTTTAACCTGACCACTTTCTGGCGTCCCCTGAATTATCCGTCTATTCCTGAACATCTCCTGACAATATCCTTTACGACACTGCTCTCACTTAGTCATTACTTGAGATTTTTCTTGATCAATATCATAACGTGATCCAACATCTGATGTTTTGGAGGGCCGTGTTTGCTTTGCTCCCATTTTGTATTGTTTTACGGACTTGTGATCTTGAATACTGTTCGTTATCTCCATATGTTCCATAAAAGAAATCTTTTTCAGTCATGCAGTTAATTTCTTCCGGGCTTGAAAACTACACACCTTCATTTTCAAAGTCTCGTGATCATTTTAAAATCCTTTGCCAGTGGTGAAATAAGTTACCGATCCAATTGCAAACTATCACTTGAAAATTTTAGAAATTCTTTACCAGTAGTGAATGAAATGACTGATTCGACTCAATATTGCAAAGCATTGAATATTCTTTATCTCTTAATCCTATCTTATGCATTTCATTTGTTACAGATATAGATGAATGTGCAGAAAATCCTTGTCAAAACAATGCAACATGTGTGGACCTCATCAATGATTACAACTGCAGTTGTGTTGCAGGATTCAATGGAACAAACTGTGAGGAGAGTAAGTAAATTAATGAACCTAAGACAAATGAAACTTTAGATAACATTTTAGATATCACAACTCTGCGAATTCTGAAACGTCAATGCTTAAGAACATTGGCTATCCTTTGTATAAGTGAAAGTTGGGATTACATGAAAGACTTTTTTGACAGATATTGATGAATGCGCCGATAGTCCTTGTCAGAACAATGGAACATGTGCGGATCTCATCAATGATTATGAGTGTAGCTGTGCTCCAGGATTTAATGGAACCAATTGCGAGGAAGGTAAGTCAATGAAAATGATATGAAATGACGGTGAATAAAACTAGTTTAAAATCAGTTATGCTTAACAAAGAGCATCTGTTACAGATATTGATGAATGTGCTGAAAATCCATGTCAGAACAATGGGACATGCCTTGATCTCATCAATGATTACCAATGTAACTGTGCTGCAGGATTTAATGACACTAATTGTACAAACAGTGAGTATATATAACAAAGCATGTTTTTTATTTCAAGGAAATGTTGATTTTTTCTGGAAGATATATTTTATCTTTTAGACTTCATTCAAGTTACACTAGTATTTTAATATTTATCTCAGAACTCTTGAAGTCTGAAGACTCATACCAGTCTATGTATTCTACCACGAACAAAGATATTTTGAAAGTATTATACACTTTGACGTGCCTTGACCTAACCCCTGTTTAACCTGACCCCTTTCTGGTGTCCCCTGAATTATCCGTCTGCTCCTTAATATCTCCTGACAATATCCTTAACGATACTGCTCTCACCTCACTCACTCATTACTCGAGATTTTTCTTGATCAATATCATGACCTGATCCCACATCTGATGTTTTGGAGGGCCGTGTTTGCTGTGCTCCCATTTCGTATTGTTTTACTGACTTTTGATCTTGAATACTGTTCGTTATCTCCATATGTTCCATGAAAGAAGTCTTTTTCAGTGGTGCAATCAATTTCTTCCGGGCTTGAGAACTACACACCTTCATTTTCAAAGTCTCGTGAACATTTTAAAATCCTTTGCCAGTGCTGAAATAGATTACCGATCTCCAGTTGCAAACCATCACATGAAAGTTTTAGAAACCCCTTACCAGTAGTGAATGAAATGACTGATTCTGTCCAATATTGCAAACCATTGAATACTCTCTATCTCTAGATCATATCTTATGCATTTTATTTGTAACAGATATGGATGAATGTGCAGAAAATCCTTGTCAAAACAATGCAACATGTGAGGACCTCATCAATGATTACAACTGCACTTGTGAGGCAGGATTTAATGGAACAAACTGTGAGGAGAGTAAGTAAATCAATGAACCTTAGACAAATGAAACTATTGTTCACATTTTAGATTTTACATGGCTGTCAATTTTCTGTTTAATAACAAAACTTTTTGATAATATAATAAAGTGAAATACGTAGTTATAAATCTACTTGTCAGCAACAGAACACGTAATATCCTTTTTTGAGAGGTATAAACGTAAGAAAAAATTCTTACAGATATTGATGAATGTGCTGAAAATCCATGTCAGAACAACGGGACATGCCTTGATCTCATCAATGATTACCAGTGTAACTGTGCTGCGGGATTCAATGACACTAATTGTACAAATGGTAAGATTTTTAAAATAAAGAGTAAAACTTTACTCAAAATTGCCCCCCAAAAAATTCTTGTAATATCTCCTTATAGATTATAATATTGTGCAACGAAATTTATCTTGCAAATACTTAGAATACGGACTTTCGGGAAAATTCTTATGATTTAATTGTATAGATGTCGATGAGTGCGCTTCATTGCCTTGTCAGAACAATGGAACCTGTGTTGACTTGGTCAATGAGTACGAATGTCAGTGTGATGTTGAATTCAATGGTACAGATTGCTCTACAAGTAGGTGGAATAGCAGGATTTTTACTTTTAAAAATTTTAAGAATGCAAATATAATTGATACCGTATATTTAAATTTATTCTTATCAGCCGAATGAAATGTATTTGAGTACTATCCTCATCATTTGCACCTCAAATATGTTTTTGAATGACAACTTCAAAATATGTTTCTCTTTTGGGGATTTTTTTGACCATTTTACTTTTTTTTTTTTCTGAAGAATCAAATTTAATGAAATATAAGCTTGTCTTGAATCTTGATGTAACAACGACAGCAAATCTGAGCATAGAAGAAGATTATAACAAAGTAAAGAATAAAGTTCAAGAAGCGGTTGGTATTTTTGTCTCTTTTGAATTTTTTTTGAACGAATTATTTAACATTATTTTTATAACAAACATTCATCTTATTATATTTTATAGTTAACTGATGTTTACAGTAAAAGAATCGTTGGATCAAAAGTCATAATAAAAAGCATGAGGTATGTTTGTAAAGCAGTATGTTTTTATTTGTTTTTTTTTTCAAAATGTGTATATATGAAAGGATGTGGTATTTATCCCCACCCCACAATGGTATTGTTATTTAAAATTACACAGTAAAAGCTATAAGTTATAACGCAGTCACTGTGACCTATGGAATTACTTCCCTATATCCGTAATTGTGGCAGAGGTGACAAGAGGTTTTTTTTTGGATGAACTCTTAGATCATTCTGAAAGATACTCAAAAAACTGGGGCCAAGTAAGGGTCTTACCCTATCTTGTCCTTTGAAATTTTAGACGAAACTATGTCCATTCCCCTTTAAAAACATTTATATTTATATATTTTTTCGTTCCGAATATTTTATATAAGACATCATATGTTTATTTAAAAGAAAGGGAAGCTTAATTGTTGACTTTGACCTCGTCATACCAGACAGCCCAACATCAAAAGTACTCGTCGTTGACACCGTGTACAAGCTTGTGAATGGTCTAGTATTTGTCAACTTCTCGGGAGAAATAGTCACCATTACCAGTGCTACAATACAGCATTCAACATACGGAGAGAGTAATAAGTTTTATACAGTGTTTTCAATACACATTTTTACAGTGGGAAAGAGTTTTTTCTTGATAAAATCTTCTTAACTTGATTCACCTCTTACATCATCAAATTTATATGATACATGCGTACAACTGTTATCTATTTAATTAACTTTGAACATACTTACGATATAGATGTTGATTCTGTTCCTTTGTAGTTATTATCACAAACTCATCTGATGGATGCGCTGTTGTGAACTCACAAGGAGCATGTGATGTAGGATATAGTTGTCAAGAATTTATCAATCATACAGTGGCTTGCATGTACGTATATGTTTACACAATGTTTTTTGTATTTCTCTTTACTTCTTCATCAATTATGCAAAGTTTACTAATTAGTTAAAATCATTATGATAAAACAAACCTTATGAATTTCGAAGAAAACAGAACTGGACTTATATCCCCCTTTGCAGAGCTGAGACAAATGAAAGTATGTTGCATTTATTTGAGAAAAAATGAACAAATTATTCATTAATCTTTTTAATTTGCGTTTCAGTCCCATCATTAGTAAGTATAAATGTTTTCTTTACTTTTATTTATGCAGAAAGGATGCTGTGATAAATGTTTTATCTGAAGTATTCTATTAATGAAAAATTGAAACAAAATAAAGAATTATGTAATTCAGCTTTTAATCATTTTATTTTGTTTTCCTTATTATGTTATTATTTAATTTGATAATGTTTTGTAAAGATGAGTGAAAGAGTGTGAATGTTTTATATTTGTTATATGTTCATTTCTGTTTGTTTATTTTTGAAATTCTATACATGTTATTATATGTTGAATAATAAGTTATTGTTTAATTATTTCTATTTATTTGTACATGCATAATACCTATAACTTTAACCATGTTAACGGGAGATTAATATTTTTTTCTTATTTCAGATTGTAGATTGCAGAGAAGAATCAGTGATAAATTCTCTATAATATAAATACATAAATATTTAATACGCCGAAACTTCACATTCATTTTGCGCTATTTTATGTCAAAAATACATTTGTTGAAAAAAATGATATACTATTTACTTTAATCTTTCACTTTTATTTTACAGGTCTTGGAATAGTAATGGGGCAAGAAGATAATTGAAGAGAGAACGCTGATTGTTTTATGAACTCTAATTATTCCGTTAATGTTTACAAGTTCATGCAATATTTATCCCGTTTGCTGTTAATTTATCAAATATATTTTTGTTGCAAAAATGGTTATTGTTTTTTTTTTATAATAGTTCTTTCTACAACGAATGACCGTTGTGATAGCCTAGTGGTAGGGCAATGGAATGTAACGTACGTGTGCGATTTTCGTAAAATTTAATACGTAAACAACAGAAAATGAATTTGCCTTTGTTATGCACCCAGCACTGTGAAATGTGAAAGCCGATGCTCCCTTGGATAAGACCTTAAAATCCGAGGCCACATGTCTGAGTAGGCGTTTAAAAAATCTTCTGCAAAGGATATAAAACAACAATCAAACAATCACTATTCACAAAGATTTTGAAAATAAATAAATTCTGATTTATTTCTTACGTTCTAACATTAATTCTTGATTCTGTAATGCAAATAAAATCATGCAATGAAATAAAAAAAAAAAAGAAACTGCGCCATTAAATTCAATTCAATGAGGATATTAAGTGGGGAGCTCTATTTTGTTGATGAAGGTTTTTAGAAGAAAAAATATGAATTTTTCCCTTTTGAAATATATACAGTTCTTTTAAGTGGTGACTTCAACTAGACATTTAGATATATCGATGACGTATTGTCAATAACAATGGCTATTTCCATTCTTATGTCGATAAGATATACACCAGTGAGCTTGAGATAAAAGATAACACAGAATCTTACACATCTGTTTCATGTTTGGATATTGAAAATGACGTTAATAGTAATCTAAAAAACAAGCTCAATGAAAAAACTGATGACTTTAACTTTTCAATCGTCAACTTCCCTTACTTATATATAGCAATATACCTTCATCACCAGCATACGGAGTTTATATATCTCACTTTATTCGACCCATTGCTATCCGTTTTCGTCCGTCGTCGTCCGTCGTGTGTCGTGTGTTAACATTTGAACATTTTCAGCTTCTTCTCTGAAACCACTGAACCAATTTCAACCAAATTTGGTATACAGCATCTATGGGTGGAGGGGAACAAAAATTGTGAATTTCATGGTCCCCGCCCCCCCCCCCCGGGGCCTGAGGGGTGGGGCCAAAACCACTAAAATTAATGAAATCTTTAAAAATCTTCTTCTTTACTCCTGGACATCGAGCAGGCAAACTGTTAGCATGAATGCTATGACCATTGAGTCTTCTACCAAAATCGTGAAATTCATGGCCCCAGGGTCAGGGGTTGTAGTGCTAGGGCGGGGCTATATAGATTATATAGTAAAAATGCATTATTTCTTTGAAAATCTTCTTCTCTGCTCCTGGGTATTAAATAAACTAACTAAGTACAAAGTTATCATGACCATTGAGTCCTCTACCAAAATTTTGAATTTCATGGACCCAGGGTCAGGGGTTCTTGTGCTAGGGCGGGGCTATATTGATTATATTATGAAAATGCATTATTTCTTTGAAAATCTTCTTCTCTGCTCCTGGGTATTAAATAAATTAAGTACATAGTTATGATGAGCAAGAGTGCCTATTCCACAATTATGAATTTCATGGCCACAGGGTCAGAGGTTCTGGTGTTAGGGCGGGGCTCTATTGATTATATAGTGAAAATGCATTAATTCTTCGAAAATCTTCTTCTCTGCTCCTGGGTATTAAATAAACTAACTATGTACATAGTTATGATGAGCAAGAGTGCCTATTCCACAATTGTGAATTTCATGGCCCCAGGGTCAGGGGTTCTGGTGTCAGGGCGGGCTATATAGATTATATAGTGAAAATGCATTATTTCTTTTAAAATCTTCTTCTCTGCTCCTGGGTATTAAATAAACTAACTAAATACTACATGGTTATGATGAGTAAGAGTGCCTATTCCACAATTGTGAATTTCATGGCCCCAGGGTCAGGGGTTCTGGTGTTAGGGCGGGGCTCTATTGATTTAATATACTGAGTAGTGAAAATGCATTAATTCTTTGAAAATCTTTTTCTCTGCTCCTGGGTATTAAATAAACTAACTAAGTACATAGTTATGATGAGCAAGAGTGCCTATTCCACAATTGTGAATTTCATGCCCCCGGGGTCAGGGGTTCTGGTGTTAGGGCGGGGCTCTATTGATTATATAGTGAAAATGCATTAATTCTGTGAAAATCTTTTTCTCTGCTCCTGAGTAGCTGAGTAGCTCCTGAATAAACTTACTACTAGTAAGTGCATAGTTATGATGAGCAAGAGTGCCTACTCCACAATTGTGAATTTCATGGCCCGAGGATCAGAGGTTCTGGTGTTAGGGCGGGGCTGTATGGATTATATAGTGAAAATGCATTAATTCTTTAAAAATCTTCTCTGCCCCTGTGTATTTTAATAAACTAACTAAGTACATAGTTATGATGAGCAAGAGTTCCTATTCTGAAATTGTGAATTTCATGGCTCCAGGGTAAGTGGTTCCTTTGGGGTGGGGTGCACAACTGTTTATAAAGTGGAAGTGCATTTTCTCTTTTTTACTCTGATCTACCTCTGGGTAATAAGTAAATAGAGTAAGCATGCTAAGTTTATAATTATAATAAGCAATGGTGCCTTTTTCAAAATTGAGAATTTTATGGCCTCTGGTTTAAAACAGAACCAAATTCAATTGTTGGAAAGTTGTTACATGATACTCAGGTGACCTATAAGGCCCGTGGGCCTCTTGTTCTCTTAGGAAATACTTTTATCTTATTCGAACCAAAGTTATCCTATGTATCAAGAATATTTTTTGTTCTTATTTAAAAGATGTCAAATGTCAAAAAAGCAACCGACAATCCATCAATCCTTTCTGGAATGATAATGAAATCACTTGGAGTCTGTTAAAAAGTTTCCTTGAAGATGTCGAAAAAAATTTATATATTTTCATCAAACGATCATTACATCATTTTTCTTAAAGCATAATAATAAGCAGTTTTGAAAGTTTTATTATATATATTTTGCTGTTTAAATGCCAAATTATGATAAATTTGTATGTAATTTAAACCTTTATGATCAATCAGACTAGGATAAAGATTAAATTGTTACAGAAAAACGAATTATATGTATAAGAATATCCAGTATTTATTAAATTAACATGATTTTGACTCAATCAAAGCAGCCAGTAAATAGTTCTTCAATCGCAAATATTATCAAAAGAAGCGTTCTTTTTTCTGTCACTGAAATAGTTATATACAATTTACAAAGAAATTCCGACATCATATGCAGCTGATATTGCTTAAAAAATCCATGGTTCTTTATCAAAACCTTAACGCTGCTGAACAAGCCAGCTGTACAGATATTTAGCTGTTCTTCTCCCATCAAGAAAACATACAATGGCAGACATATCAGCAATTCACATACTCCTATTTTACATTCTGACTTAAAACGGCATATAAATAAACAATAAAATTTTGGGAATTAATATAGCAGCAAATATATAACCAGCTTTCTCGGGTTTTATTTTTTTTAAATATTAATATTTATTGATATGTATTGAACAAAAGCAGAACCATTTTATTGTTTAAGTTAAAACAGTGGGTTTTATGCTCCTTTTATGCACATTGGATGACTTGATATTACATATATTTAGCTGAAAGCTAATACTGAGCTTCTAAACGGATGGGTACACAGCTCCGCGCACTTTCTAAGCTCACACATGGTCACATTTTTCTTGCAATAAAACTTAAAATTATCAAGCTACAGTACGAGACATAACCCTTATATTATCAATTTTCTTCATGTTAAAGGTGAATATTCTCTAACATCATTACCTTAAGTTTTAAAACTCTATGTTTTAAAAGAGAGTATTATGTTACAAGCTCAAAAGTATGTGGAAACAATTAGAATCCAGAACAGAACA